AAAAATACAAAATAACAAAATTTAAATGGTTCTTCCCCAAACAATCAATTAAAAATTATAAAATCTCTAAATAATTGACACAGATGTGTGAGAGTAAAATGTATTCCTCGATAAAGTCAATAAACAGTCACTTCTCAAAAGAAGGAAAATAAATGACCAATAATAACCAAATTTTAAAAGGTCCTAATAATCAGAGGAATGCAAGCTAATATAACTTTGAGATTCTGCCTTATATCCATTGAATTGTCAAAGACAGTTTAAAATAATGAAACTCAGGGGGCAGAGCCAAGATGACAGAGTAAAAGCAGTGACTTGCTTGAGCTCTCCCCCAAACCTCTCCAAATACCTGTAATAAATGGCTCTAAACAAATTCTAGAGCAACAGAACCCACAAAAAGACAGAGTGAAACAAATTTTCAGCCCAAGACAACCTGGATGGTTGATTGGAAAGGCCTATTGCGCCAGACTGGGAAAGGAACCCAGTTCAGCGTGGGCCATGTAGGCAAAGAACAAGGCCTCAGCAAATCTGGAGCAGTCCTCAGGGGATTGAATCAAGGGGAGCTATGGTGATTTCCATACTTCTCAACCCACAAACACCAAAGACGACTTAGAAGGTCAGTAGGAAAGGTCTGTCAGACCACAGTGAGAAAAAAGCTTTGTCCAGCCCCAGTCTGGGTGCAGCCCTAGGGTGGCAGCTGCTTCTGGAGCTCTCAGCCCACAGACAGATAGGGGATTGAGTGGCTGATCAAAGAGGGATTTCAGGGATATCTTTGCTGGTGCTGAGGTTGGATTCGCTTGCTTTGCCCATGCTTAGATCTGGGTCACAGTTCTGGGTGGCAGTCCTGGGGTGAGGAGGAGGGCTGGCATGTTGGAGCTTGTGGCAGAGGTGGAGAGGAAATCCTCCTCACAGTTCCAAGGCAGAAAAGAGGGCTTGTGGTCACTCATGGACCAGAGCACAGGCCAGGAAAGGAGTAAACACCTTGCCCTTGAGTGTACCACCTTGGAAGAATGGAAAATTTACAGGTCCCTAGAAGTATCTCTAAAAACAACTGCACAAAACCCCTAAAGCTTGAGACAGTACATTCTCCACACTGGAAGCAGACCCCTACCTTAATAAAGAGTTTAAAACTCAAGTGATTAGCTGAGATCATTAGCAAACAGTGCAAAAAAAGTCAGACCATAGAATCTTACTTTGGTGACAAAGAAGATCAAAGCACACAGCCAGAAGAAGACAACAAAGTCAAAGCTCCTACATCCAAAGCCTCCAAGAAAAAATATGAATCGGTCCCAAGCCATGGAAGAGATCAAAAAGGATTTTGAGAAGCAAGTAAGAGCAGTAGAGGAAAAACTGGGAAGAGAAATGAGAGTGATGCAAAAAAATATCATGAAAAACAAGTCAATAGCTTGCTAAAGGAGACCCAAAAAAATACTGAAGAAAATAACACTTTAAAAAATAGACTAACCCAAATGGCAAAAGAGATCCAAAAAGCCAATGAGGAGATGAATGCCTTAAAAAGCAGAATTGGCCAAATGGAAAAGGAAGTCCAAAAGCTCACTGAAGAAAATGCTTCCTTAAACACTAGACTAGAGCAAATGGAAGCTAATGACTTTATGAGAAATCAAGACATCATAAAACAAAACCAAAAGAATGAAAAAATAGAAAACAAAATGAAATATCTCATTGGAAAAACAACTGACCTGGAAAATAGATCCAGGAAAGATAACTTAAAAGTTATTGGACTACCTGAAAGCCATGATCAAAAAAAAAAAAAAAGAGCTCAGACGTCATCTTTCAAGAAATTATCAAGGAAAACTGCCCTGATATTCTACAACCAGAAATTGAAAGAATCCACCCATCACCTCCTGAAAGAGATCCCCAAAGGAAAACTCCTAGGAATATTATGGCCAAATTCCAGAGTTCCTAGATCAAGGAGAAAATATTGCAAGTAGCCAGAAAGAAACAATTCAAGTATTGTGGAAACACAATCAGGATAACTTAAGATTTAGCAGCTTCTACATTAAGAGAGTGAAATAGAATATTCTGGAGGGCAAAGGAGCTATGATTACAACCAAGAATCACCTACCTAGCAAAACTGAGTATAATCCTTCAGGGGAAAAAATGGAAATTCAGTGAAATAGAGGACTTTCAAGCATTCTTGATGAAAAGACCAGAGCTGAATAGAAAATTTGATTTTCAAATACAAGACTCAAGAAAAGCATGAAAAGGTAAACAGGAAAGAGAAATCGTAAGGGACTTATTAAGTTGAACTGTTTACATTCCTACATGGAAAGATAATATTTGTAACTCATGAGACCTTTGTCAGTATTAGGGTAGTTGGAGGGAAAAAATTATATGGATAGATTGATTGATTGATAGATTGATAGATAGAGGGCATAGGGTGAGTTGAAGATGAAGAGGTGATAGCTGAAAAATAAAATTAAGGGATGAGAGAGGATTATACTGGGAGAAGGAGAAAGGGAGAGGTAGAATGAAGTAAATTTTCTCACATAAAACAGACAAGAAAAAGCTTTTACAGTGGAGGGGAAGTAGGGGAAGGTGAGAGGGAATGAGTCCCATTGGATTTGGCTTAAGGAGGGAATAACATATACACTCAATTGGGTATGAAAATCTATCTTACCCTACAGGAAAATAGGGGGGAAAGGGATAAGAGAAGGAGGAGTGATAGAAAGGAGGGCAGGGTCAAAAGAGAGAATAGAATAAATGGGGGGCAGGATAGGATGAAGGGAAATAGAGTAATTTTTTCACAATATGACTACTGTGGAAGTGTTTTGCATGACTACACATGTATAACCTGAATCGAGTTGCTTGCCTTCTCAGTGAGGGTGGGTGGGGAGGGAGGAAAGGAGAGAATTTGGAACCCAAAGTTTTAAAAACAAATATTGAAAATTCTTTTCACGTGCAACTGGGAAATAAGATACAGGCAATGGGGTATAGAAATCTACCCTGCCCTACAGGAAAATAGAAGGGAAAGGGGATAAGAGAAGGTGGGGAAGGGTAGTAGAAGGGAGGGCAGATTAGGGGAAGGGATATTCAGAATGTATGCCACCTTGGGTTGGGGGGAGAGATGAGATGGGGAGAAAATTTGAAATTTAAAATCTTGTGGAAGTGAATGTTGAAAACTAAAAATAAATTAATGAATAAATGTTTAAAAAAAATTTTAAATGATGAAACTCAGTACTGGTAGGTCTATGGAGAAATAGACCCCATACTATATACATACATACATACATACATACATACATACACATGTACATATATATACATATATATATACATATATATGTAACTTTTAGGCAATTGGGGTTAAATGACTTGCCCAGGGTCACACAGCTAGTAAGTGTCAAGTGTTTGGTCTGAGGCCAGAATTTGAACTCAGGTCCTCCTGACTTTAAGGCTGGTGCTCTATCCACTATGCCACCTAGCTCCTCCCCCCCATACTATATATTTGAAAGGCAGTATAGGTAAAGGATAGAGAATTGGTTTTGGAACCCAGAAGACCTGGGTTCAAGTCCTGCCCCTGACACATACTAACTCTGTGACCACAGGCAAGTCACACTACTTCCAGCTTGCTCTCTGTAAACTCCCAGAGTACAAGTTGCAGAAGAGAGGTCTATATGCATTGATGGAAGAAGTTTCCATACAGGAATTCCTGACATCAATGAAATCACAGGTCCTGACACACTCCCATCCTCTACCTCTACCAACAGCAACAACAATAACAATAAAATACATTGTTGGAACCCAGGGTCACACAACTAGAATGTGGCAGAAAGGGGACATCTTGATTCTTCAGCCACACTGCCTCTCCCTCTTATTGTGCTCTCTTAAAAAATAACAAATGACAAATACAAAGAAATATGGGAAGATGTATAAAATGATAATAATAAAGAGAGTAGACCCATAGCCCAGTATGTTGTTATTTGTCCTTCATTTTCGAAGAGGACCAATGACATCACAAAGGTGATATCTTAACTTACACATGAAATAGATTTAAGTGAGGCAGAATTGCACAAAGTTGTAAGCCTCACTCTCTCTTCCAGAGTCATCCAGGGGCAAGACAAAAGTCAGGGATGTGGTAAATGACCTTGGCATCTTTGATAATTGACCAAGCTCTAAGCACTCCACAGATTGTTCTCATCCACCCATTCTGCAGGGGCAAACTTCATATACTTGGGGTAGACACTTCCCTAACTCACCAACAGGTTTGTGGCCTGTTGGTTACATTCAACCTAGTTTAGCCCATCTGCCTAGATGGTTTACCAGGCACATCCTACAGCTATGGTTGAAGTAATGACTACATAAATAATGGTAGCAAAAGTATCTAAGGAAACACATTTAAAAGGGGGGAGCAGGGGGAAGCAAACTGGACATTTTTTTTTTACTATTGTGATAAAAATTAATGCATTATTTTAAAAAACAAACTGAAGTTTATAGTTTCATATTTAATTAGTTGTATTATGTCATTTGCTATTTGAATGGTTGCTTTTATTTATGGTTACTATGTATAGAATGGTAATCTTTCAAAGTACAGTAAAAGGGATTACTCCTAGGATGATTCAGTGACAATCTGAGAACAAAAGAAGGGACTTATATACTCTCAACCATGTGTCTGTCCCCTCTCCATGCCTATCCCTGCTCCTGCTACCTCCATGATCTATACAGGTGTTGGTGCACGCTCTCTGTTAGACTCGGTTAGTTTCTGAGGTGATAATCCATAAGACTGAGGATGTAATTCTATTAGAGAAATACATTTTAAATAGCACTGTGAGCTCATATTGAGCTAATTCAAATTGAGCATGGGCAGAATCTACCTCATTGGTATGTTAAGTGATTCTCACCATCTCTTCCTTCAGATCCGTTCAGTTTTAACCTGGGCCTTAGAGTAAAGATGTTTCATTGCCAGGCAGCTATCTTGAAATTCTCAGGTCCATTTTGGTGATTCAACAACATTTAACATGGTTTGTTTCTCTGTTTGGCAGTGGAATATAGTCTGTGATGAAAGCTGGAAACCCCCACTAACAACCTCATTGTTCTTCGTGGGTGTGCTGATGGGATCCTTCATTTCAGGACAACTCTCAGACAGGTAAAGAGGGCCTGTCTCCAGGCTTGAGGACTTCCTCAATTGGTCAGTTTTGTCATTATCCAGAGGACTAGGGCTAGCTTTGTTCTTTAACCCTGATTAATGAAGGCCACAATAGTTTCCCTGTGGTTGATTCACTGACTGACAAATAGCAAGCAGGAGGAATGAGGCCTTTTTTCCATAGTACCTCCAAGCAGACCTGAGGGTCGTGAGGGTCCAGCAGGACAGGAGAAGAGGCAGAGCCCCTTACCCAGTTGCCTCTTGTCTCTGGTCTTATATAGTGCAGGTGTGATGCTGCTTAGAGATAGAGCTGGTCTTTCAAATTCTTCCCCAGTCCAAGAGATCCACAACAATAGTGACATTACTCACTCCTACCCAGAGAGACCTCAAAAGTCAACAGAATTTTCACTTGTGCCCTCTGGCCACCTTACGGTCTTCCCAACTTCTTTCTTACCCTGTTTCTCTTTTCATACTACTCTCTATAGAGATAGATAAGACAGAGTCAGGAGGAATTCAGCATTTCCTCCAGGACCAGGGCTTTGGTCATTAATTACCAACAGTTCAATCCCCTATCCCATACCCAAACTCCCTCAGAGAAACTACAAAAGTTCACTAAATCCTAGAAAAGAAAAACATGGAATACCACTAGTGGTGGTGGGTGAGTCCTATAACCCACCCTCTTCTCTCAAGGACAGTCATGAACGTCTGATGCAGGAATTTGTTCAATAAAAATCTTGATGCCTTGTTCATTCAAAATACACCAAATTGAAAACAGAGCATGAATTAATAATGGAGAATGCAGCCCAATTCTTCTTTAAGAAATGAAGAGGCACCTAGCTAGCAGAAGGTCAGCCACTGCTTTGAATTAAACAAGGTACCAAATAAGCCGACATCCACTTATGAGGTTTGGCTGGAATTCAGAGAAGACTTTGCTATCGATGACCTGGGGATTTTCCTCCACGGTGCACAGATGTTCATGAAGAGTACTAGAGGTAGCATCACCATTAATTCCAGAGGGCATTAAATATCCCAGTACAGAGTGGCTTTTCCTCCTGGCCTGTGAATAAGGACAGATCCTCCTTTCTGATTCTAGTGCCTTACTTCTGTTATTATCTCCATTTTATCCTGTCTATAACTTGTTTGTAGTAACTGTTTGCATGGCCTTCCTCATTCAACTGTGTGCTCCTTGAGGGCAGGGACTGTCTTTTGCCTTTTTTCGTATCCCCAATGGGTATCACAATGGCTGTCACAGAGTAGGCATTTAATAAATGTTTATTAACTGACTCTCAGGTCAAGGTGAAAGGAAATGGAGATTCTTGAACTGTGCATTTCAGTACATTATGTTGCCAAAAGGGGATTTCAATAAAATACTTAGAGAAAGAGAGAGGTTTCAGCACTAGTAGTATAAAGAAAACCTTGTATCTGTACAGTGCCTCACACTTTTTAAAAACACCCCAGTTTTGATTATCCCCATTTGACAGATTCAGAAACTGAAAATGGAGACGTGATTCATCCAGACTCACACAGTTAATTAGTGACCAAGTGATTAGTGTCTAATTAGTGACTAGAACACAGATCTGGTGACTGACCATACTTCATAAACATGTAACTTTCTGACTTTTAAAGAAGTGCAATGTTTTGTCACCTTCATTCTCTCCTTAGTACACAGGGTAGTCATCTTATAATACTAAACCTCAGCTGGGGAGACTGGATATATGCCCTATTTCTTTTTTGCTATCCCTCCCAGCCAGTCCACAGCTGCTGCCACTTCCTCTGGTTCTAGCAGATGCTGAGTAGCTACAGTATCCTAAGCAGCCTGCATTTCTCTCAGGAAGAAAATATTTTTTTCTTCTAAATTGAGCTTTTTAAATAAAGGACAGATTTAGACTCTGTTGCAGTCCTTGGTGCCTTGTTATGGAATGGCTATGACCCCAGTTCTCAAAGGCTGCTTTTCCAGCCAGCAGGGCCCAAGTTCTGACAAATTCTACATTTGAGTCTAATACTGTTGAAAAGTTCAGACTCATGATAAAGTTGGTAAAAAAAAAATTTCCCTTTTAAATTCTTTGGCCTTTTCTCCTATTTTATTTTATCCTATTTTATTAAAATAACAACAAGGGCAGCTAGGTGGCACAGTGGATAGAGCACCAGCCCTGGAGTCAGAAAGACCTGAGTTCAAATCTGGTCTCAGACACATAACACTCATTAGCTGTGTGACCCTGGGCAAGTCACTTATAAAAACAACAACAACAACAACAACAAACAAATAAAATAACAACAACAGGGACTGGCGCACACAGGTGGGCACTCAAACCAGAGGATGGGTAGCCCCTCCCTCCTGTCTCCAGCCTCCTTCCTCTATCTCACGGTCCCTAGCCAGGGCAGTTTAGGTGGTATATGGCTAACGAAGCAGATAAAAGAAGCGACAGGGACAAATTTTGACAGGGCCCCCATTTTGATTATGTGGGAGCAACAGGGACAAAGGCAGGGCAGGCCTGGAGGATGCTCCCCTCCCCTCCTGCTGTGGCTTAGGATTCAAAAGGTTGAGGAACAGGAGCAATAGGGAAAGCTGATTGCACCAAAGTGGTGAAGCTTTTGGAAACAATAACTCTTGAAGACTGTTTTCCAAGTCACTAGGGGAGGGAGAGAATCTATAGAGGTGAAGAGAATTTCCATACCAGTGAAGTCATGGATCTTTGCAGTATTGAAGTATAAGAATCTATGCCTGGTCATCTCCCATCTGGTCATTTCTCAGGTGACAAGTTTTGGATTTTGTTGTTTGATTTTGGTTTTTGTTTTGGGGTGGAGGGGTGGGTCCTGGAGACCTATGCTTTCATTGATGCAGGGACTTCCAGGTAAGGAATTTCAGATCAACTTAATGAATCAGCAACTTACAGTCTTAGAGAGTTGCCTGAGAGGGACTGAAAGTCAGTCAATAAGCATTTATTAAATGCCTACTACGTACTAGTCATTGTGATAAGCATTGGGGATACAAAGAAGGACAAAAGACAGCCCCTGCCCTCAGGAAGCTCACAGTCTAATAGAACAGACCACATGCAAACAGTTACATACAAACAAGTTATACACAGGATAAAATGGAGATAATAACAGAGGGAAGGCACTAGAATTAAGGGAGATGAGGATGACTTGTACAAAGGCCCCAGTCAATGAGAAGAGAATTCTCTGCTGATCATCTGCCTCCAACTGGACCAGCCAGCAGTGCCTGCATCACTGCTTCAGGGGACAGAGGAAGTGAGGAGGGCTGGTCATGCAGCTGAGGGAGTCAGTCACTCTGTGATTCTGAATCTACATGACTCTTTGGTGCCCAGGGATCATACATTGACTTTAGAGATCATCTGTCCCAACTTCCTCACTTCAGAGAAAAAAATGGAGGCTTTTACGAATATTCAGTCAGGTAGATTCATGGAGAATTGTCTTGTCTGAGAAATGAAACTTCCCTTGATGTCAATTTTTTTTAATGCATTGTGATTTGATTTTTACATCAAATTGACTTCCAAATTTATTCCTCCTCTCCCTCCCCTTTCAAGTGAACCATCCCTTGTAACAAAGAATTTTTTTAAATGGGAGGGGGCGGCCACAGTTAAGCAAAACTAACCAGTCTACCAACGAAACCTGACAGTATATGCAATTCTCCACACTCATAGTGCCCTGTATCTGCAAAGAAGGGAGGGAGATAAATTTTGTTATCTCCTCTTAAAGCCCCAGATTGGGCATTATAATTAGGCAGTATTCAGTTTCAGGGATGTTTTTGTTCTTTCTATTGACATTTTTGGAATCATTGTGTATCTCATTTTCCTGGTTCTGCTTACTTCAGTTCAAACAAGTCTTGATGCTGATGTTTGCCTGAACCCAGAGAATCTCTTAGTCCCGTTGAAAACCCTGACATTTCTATAACCTGATGCCGGGTGCGTGTGTGTGTGTGTGTGTGTGTGTGTGTGTGTGTGTGTGTGTTTCATTGTGTCTTTAAGGTTCGGCAGAAAGAATATCCTCTTTGGGACTATGGCTGTGCAGACAGGCTTCAGTTTCCTGCAGATCTTCTCCATCAACTGGGAGATGTTCACTGTGCTGTTTGTCATCGTGGGCATGGGCCAGATCTCCAACTATGTGGTGGCCTTCATTTTAGGTAGGCTGGTCCTGGAGAGATGGCAAGAAGGGTCATGTGCTTCTCTTCTCCCTTCTTCCCCTTCTTCCCCTTCTTCCTCCTCCTCTGTTCTAGCTTCTTCCCAATTCCTCAATTCTTCCCAATTGCTTTCACAAAGGGTAAGACAGTAAGATATAAGAGTAGAGCCTCAGCCCTCTAGAAAGCTACAAGAAGGATTCCTCCTGATGAAATGGGCAGAACTTCCACTCAGTGGATAAGAGTTCTCTGTTATTGTTCTATATGTTCTACAGCTTAGACCAAACATGTCAGTAATGGGACCCACAGAGGATTTTTTTTCTTCCAATTACAGAAGGTAGAAGAGGTCAGGGAGAAGAAAAAAGTTTTATTTTTAAGATAAATGGAGCCCCATTATCAACAGACCACAGATCAAATCACATCTCTGAATCACCATTGTCGCACAAGTCAAGCTCCATAAAAGTTGGTGAAACAGGAACACTAATATTAGTTCTATTCTTCTGCACTAATCTTAAAGTAATCCTGCTGCTTTTTTTTTAATGCAGATTCTCAAATTTTGGGATGTATTCAAATGCTATGAATTCATAGGCTCAGCTGGGAGGCCATTCTATTTATGTCTTGTTGTTAAGAAGCAAAAAAAGCACCTGAAGGATTCATGAGGCCATCTGGGTGTCATTCCTAAACCTAGTGTCAGAACTCTAACCTCCTCTTCCTCATCACCCAGTTCTTAAATGCCAGGAATAGGGCTATTCCCTCAGGAAGGGGTCCAATGGAAAGGCTGATGCAGCCTGAGCCATCAGCCCATTCTGCAGACTCTCACTTTACCTCCTGCAGGTAGGTTGGGGTGGCTAAGTCAATGAAAGGGGGCACTCCATACTATTGGAAGAGGAGCTGGGTAAGGCTAGCATTTCCTGTGTTGAAACCCAAAGACCCAAAGTAGTCCCTTGCTTCAACTATTCCACATAGAGGGCAGTCTTTTGCATTACTCAAATTTAATCAGTTTTTCTAGAGGGTTAATTTTGTCAAAGAAAGGCTCAAACATTGAGTTATTAAAATGCTACTCATTAACTTTTCTGTACTGTATTAAACCTATTATTTATCCTCATTGGGCACCTTATTAATTCTTAATTTTATTGCTATCTTTTTCATATCACCTTCATTTCCAGGCATATGTCACTATTACCCTATCTAGAGAATAAAAAAGAAAGGTTGAAGAGTGGAAAGGGAAACAACTCAACAAAAAATTCCCAATGTATCAACAGTCTGAATAAGTATGTGTAACATCCCACCACGAGTTCCCTACCACCGCAAAGAAGGAAGGGAAATGTATTTTCTCATTTCCTCTCTGGGGCCAAACTTGGTCATTATAATTATATAAGTTTCAAATTCAAAGTTTTTTAAATTTGTTTTATTTCTATTTACATTGTTGTAGTATAGTCACCAGATGCTTTTAACATTATCTTTTATTAAAACTGTTGTTCAGGGAGAAGCAATTCTTAATTTTAGAAACACTTATCTTCCCCATCTCAGGATTGTCCACTGGGTTTTAAGTCATGCAAGAGCCTTTAATTAACTTCCACTTACATGGAGAAAGTTCTGACTCATAAAAGGAAATATGACAATAAGGTCCAGCTTGGACGGAATGATTGATCTTGAACATTAACCCTCCCTCCTCCCAGAGATCTTTAAACCTGAACGACTCTTGTCTGATATGTTTTTCTTTGAAAAGCATACCAGATGTCACGTTCAAATTCCATTCCTTCAATCATTGATGAAGTAACCAGAGGTCCAGGCACTGAAAAGGTTCACAGGTCAGTGTCAGGAAAGAAGCAAGGAAGAAAGATGGTGGGACAGATGATAGATAGGAAGTGTGCACTGAAGTGAGGTGTCTGGCCCTAAGAGAGGCCAGTGGTGCTAAACATGCTTTCTCCTCTCTCTGACCATCTAGCCAGATATTCTCTTCATTAGGGACTGACAGACAGAAATAGATTTTGCCCAAGAGCTGAGGAGGTCACAGGTGGGAGTCACTGCAGAGTCACAATAGATAGTTCTCTCCTAGCTCCATCAGGTCAGGAGACAACGCTGAGTTGGTTCTGTAGCTTAGAACAGTCATTTACAACTTTCAGGTCTACAGACAAAGCACTTTCCAACAGTCACTGCAAAAAAAATAAAATAAAATCTCAGTAAGTTCAGAGGAGGGCAATTTTTATTTTGGATGAGACTTTGGGGAGGGGCATTTTAAAAAATGACTACTCTACATCAGAAACAAAAACTATATATGCTCCAATGCTATAGGAGAGCCCATAGATCACTTAGAAGATTTGCTTTTGTCAGGTTATGCTTTTGTTAGGACTTGGTGGACATAATTAAGTCCAAGGTGATAGGTTTGATTCCCACATGACTCAGTGGACTTCATCCTGTTTCCAGGCTATAGATTAGCTCTATAAACCTGACCACAGATTCACCTCAGGATAATTCCCCTATCTCTAGTTCCAAACTCTCACAGATATGTGCCACTGAACATAAGGAAGGCTGTTTGAAATTGTGTGAATGTCTCAAGTCACCCTGGGACCATTGCTGGGGACCCAGCTCAGAGGGGAGGACCTATTGAAAGGGAGTCAAGAATGTCATTTTTGTATATAGAAGTCAAGGCACTGCTGTTACTAAAGTCCAAGTCATATCGGGCTGCAGATGAAAAGTAAAAACATCATATCATAGTCAGAATCCTCCAAAAAAAGGCAGGGTTGGAGAAAAGTATTTACTGCCTTCCTATTAGCACGTTAGGACAATTGCACTGTCCTCATCGTATCAAAGAGAAAAACCTTCCAAAGTGATTCCCACCTCTTATACCACACAAGCAATACCTGCAATTACTAATCTCTCCAGTTATTTTGGAAATCCCTGACTTTAGGCCTGACACTCTATCCACTGCAATACCTAGCTGCCCACTCTTTGTTTACTAGCTGTAGACAATTAATTGATAGGAATGCTGATGTGCCAGCCCCATGATCGATCTTTGCATCACTATATTCCCTCTGGTGACACCAGCCACTGATGGGAACCCCACCTTGGAGTGAGATCCTAACAAGAGTTTAGGTTACTGTGTATCTTTCCAGGGGTGGATAAGACTGTAGGCTGAAACACAGTAAGAAGTCTTTCTGAATTGCAGCTAGATTGCCTCTCATTTATCCTCTTATTGATGTGGACAGTCACCAGAAAAGGACATTTTAGAAACATATGTAATGCAGAACAGAAACTCTGCCTGGGCTTTTGTGGCCCGGGTTTCATCTTTTTTTAATTCTATGTTAAGTTTTGAGGGGCTCTGGCTTATTACTATGGACGAAGTCTAAATTTGGCTTGGTCCAGCAGGTTCAAGGTTTCATTTATTTGTTTAAAATACAGTATGCACTTGTGAATCAAAAAGAAAATGGAAGCCAAGGAAGGCAGTAAGCAGAAATGAGGAGGGAGAGCATTCTAGACATGTGGGACAGCCAGAGAAGGTGCCAGGAATCTAGAGACGGAGTGTCTTGTTCATGGAACAGCAAGGAAACCAGTACTACTGGATCAGAGAGGGTGTGGCAAGCAATAAGGTATAAAAAGACTGGAAAGGTAGGCATGGGCTAGGTTAAGAAGGCCTTTGAATGCCAAACAGAAGATTTCATATCTGACCCTGAAGGCAATTGGGAGCAGTAGAATTTACTGAGTAGGTAGATGACATAGTCAGACCTGCACTTTAGGAAAGTCACTTTGATGGCTGAATGGAGGATATATTGGACTGGGGGGAGACTTGAGGCAGGAGCACCCACCAGCAGACTATTGCCATAATTCAGGTTTGAGGTGATGAGGACCTATACCAGAGTAGTGGCGGTATCAGGGGAGAGAAAGGGACTTATCCAAGAGATGTGGCAAAGCTGAAATCAACAAGCCTTGGCAACAGATTGGATATGGGGGATAGTGATGGTGAGGAGGTGGAGATGGCACCTAGTCTCAAGCACAAGAGACTGTGAGGATGGTGTTGTCCTCAACAGAAATGGGAAGTTAGGAGAAGGGGAGAGTTTGAGAGAAAGACTGTGAGTTTGGTTTTGAATATGCTGAGTTTAAGATGTCTACTCAACATCTATTTCAAGATGTCCCAAAGGCAGTTGAAGATACAAGATTGGAGAAGTTAGAGTGGGATAGGTAGATTTGAAGTATAGAGAAGCTGACAGAGAAGTTGATAAAATCAACACAAACTGGCTACTTGATAGAAAACAAGGCACTGTCTGATTGAATGGGCTTCCTAAAGAGCCACGTTGAATTTCTACATTCCCAGGCAACTTTTTGTTAGGTCAGTTTCAAGTATCTGTGATTTTGTGGGTGTGGGAACTCCCTCCACTGAAAGATCACAATCTACTTATAACTTTCTATTTTAGGGAGTCGCCTGAGACTCAGAAAGATTAAATCACTTGTCCATGGTCATGCATCTAGGAAGGGTCATAGTCAGGATTTGTACCCAGGCCTTCCTCTCTTTAAGTTTTGTCCACTGGGTCAGACCATGTCTCTAATTTATTTGTTAATTATCTGAAAATATTCTTAGCCTGAGGTCAAAGAACCAAATTTCCTCAAACTGTTGTTGTCTTGTCCTGATGGGATTTTCTTGGCAGTGGAGTGGTTTTTACTGGAGTGGTTTGTCATTTGTCATTTCCTTCTCCAGTAGATTAAGGCAAACAGAGGTTAAGTGACTTGCCCAGGGTCACACAGCTAGTAAGCATCTGAGGCCACATTTGAACTGAGGTCTTCCTGACTCCAGGCCCAGTGGCCTATCTACTGAGCCATCTAGCTGTCTCTAAACGAGGTTGGTGAAAATAAAAAGAAGAGCAAGGCTGGAAGGGAGGACACAGAAGCTGTGTGGTTTTCTTTTTCTAATGTTGTTTCAGTTCAAGATTTAGCAAGCCCAGGCTTCTTCATTTTTGTCACTCTCACCATAACATTTATGAGTCAATATTGAGTGTACTGCCCTTCTAAAG